TAATTGCATCCAACTGCGCATGGGCTGTTGCAAGACAGGGTGCTGAATGGATAAGCCTTACAAAGCCGCTCAACTTCATTTCACCTTGCCTCCCAAAAGGTATTCTCAACCCAAATGGACTGGAATACAGTTTCGACCTGGCCTCAACTCGTCTCAACATCATCAAACCAATCATATTATGTTGGTGCAGGCCTTGTTTGTCGTCCGATTGTTGATGAGACAAACTTAAATTTCGCCATTAAAAGCAACTAAGTTATTTATACTCCGATTGTGTAATTGGTATTGTCTTAGTTATATGTATAGTAAGATATATCATATGCATTATTTTGTGTGCAACAGGTTTTGATACTACGAGTAAAACTTGAATAGAGCAGCTCCGATTGAGCTCCAAGGATGGAATGGGACGGATGGCTCAGGTCCCAATTTGCACATACCATTTGTTGCAGCCCTTTATGCCAATGTCAGAAAAATGAAAATGACCTTAGTCCACCTTTCTTGGTAGTGTTTGGCTCATTGTTTCTTTATTTTTTGTATTTAAGTATTGTTTCGAGAATATCAGTAAATCAGTAGTATGAGATGTACTCACCCAATTTCGTTTAAGGTGATGAAGGACTGGTAGAAGAATTTTCTCACAATGTTATGAGTAGAGCTGACGTTTCCATTGAATTTCATTTCAATTTATTTCATTTTATTTTATTTTTCTCAATTAAGTATTGTTTCGAGACCACCAGTAAATCAGTAGTATGATATGTATTCACCCAATTTCGTTCAAGGTGATGAAGGACTGGTAGAAGAAGAATTTTCCCACAATGGAGTTGACGTTTCCATTGCATTTCACATAGCCTTGCTTTCCCACTCCAGCCGGGATGAGAACAACTTTTGGGAAAGCAAGGCTTTGTGAAATGCAATGGAAGCGTCAGCTCAACTCATAACATTGTTTCTTGTCGACGGAAGATTGGTTCTTTTCAGCCAGAACCAGCATCCATCTGGGACTATAAGCGGCTTTTGACCTCGGACAGGCTTGGCCAGTAAGGTTGTCATGTAACATCCTTTTCATGATTTGGGAGTTCGGTCAAACGATCTGGAAACTAATCAACGCGTGTAACAGTTTGCGTGACTGCAACTGTGGGCAGTCGACTGTTTGGCAGACACAACTGTGCGCCCAGTCGGCGGTCTTGAAGCAGCCAATCTGTCTCTCCTGCCGCCTTCCTCGGGACGGAGGGCAAAGAATAAAAAACTGGTCTTTCTCTGTAGCCTGTCTCGAGGTGTCCCATGGCAGCACACACCAGCATATGAAAAGAATCCAAGACGCACTTCCCTCGTATTCAAGGTCTTCTGATGACCTCAAACTCCTACTTAATAACATTATTAGTAGTATTTTCGAATGTACTGGCTAAAACATGTTTTTCTTCTACAATAATTCCACTATAGAGAAATACGACATAAGAGAGGCCTAGCTCACTTTGAGGTACCATTGTGGTGTGGGCTCGAGGTCGAAACTGCAGTCTAGTACAGTTGGGATGAGAATAGCTCTTGGAAGCAAAGGTTATGTGAAATTCAATTGTGGCAAAATTCACTCTCTAGAAGTCCTAGTCACTTTGAATAGAATTGGATGAATTCATTTCAAACATGTTTTATGCATAGCGAATAGACTTCAATACCACCGGCAGTTGTTAATTAAATAAAATTCTTATTAAAATGTATTAATTCAAGCTTACCTGGGCATGGATGTCTTTCTGTTCAAATTCTTCACCTCCGCTTCGGTGAGTCCTCCTTGGAAGATCCAACGGACGGCTTTGACGACATCCAGAGTAAGCAGCTCCAAAGGACCTTTGTTCAGAACCTGGGAAAACGAGGCAGAGTCAGTGGATAAAAGGGGAATACCGCGGCTCGACAACCACCTCGCCCAGCAGCGTCAGTCACTATCCATTTTAAGTTGGCTTCCGAGTTTATCAGCAAAGTTTGAACAAGAGTTTACTTCACTCCAAGTCGCATAAGGTGTTGTATGACTGAAACTTCCATTTCCCCACAATCACATGACAGTTCCAAGTTTACACTGTTTCACATCCTCATTCATACTCCAAATAGTCAGTGCATACAGTCGCCAGAATATACAATCCTCCAGCCGGCCCAAACCCCGCACAATCTGTTATTGTCAGATGGCCTTACATAAATCACATGCCATATTCATACTCAAGCACATATTGGATCATGAGTCTCTCTCGTCCAATCAGAAGGCTCTCTTTTGCGAATTCACTATGTACAGATCGCACGGCCAAGCTCAAAGTCGTTGACATCGTCTTTGCCTCCTTTCAAGTACAAACTGTAACAATTACTCATGTTTAATAATAAATTGTATCTGTCCAGATGGTGTAGGATGATCCGAGGAGGGCCAGCGAAATTTCCCATAATAAAATGTGTAGACTTTAGGATAGCATAACATCTTCACCGAGTTTTTCCGACATGGGCCGGATCCAACGGACGGCAGTTGCGATCTCGTCCCCAGGACAAGTCGAAACCGGTACCGCTCGGCTACACAGCTATGGCCAGCAATGGGTCATAGGGCATCGATGTGATGTTTCAGCGCAAACCAGACAATATAAGAGCTGCATTCGCCCCGGGATAGTTGAATTTTCCCCTTAATAATATGAAATTCAATTGAAAAAAGTAAGATCAGCTCATAACATATCAGTTCTTGATTAAATTCTGCTCTTAACGAGATGTGTTTACCCGATTTCGTTTTAGGTGATGAAGGACTGGTAATTGAATTTTGTCACAGGATGAGAACTCCTTTTATGAAGCAAGGTTATGTGAAATTCAATGGAAACATAAGGTCTACTCATTCGATTGTGGGAAAATTGAACCACCACTCCTTCATCACCTTAATTGAAATAGGGTAGTCTCGGCACCCTACTTACATAACGAAAAAAACTTATAATCTTATTCAAGATCCACCGGTACTTTCGAAGTTTACTCAAAACGAATTGCAGGTATGCTCCTTTTCCGCTGGTACTGCTTGCACAGGAAGCCATGATTGTGTACTGGAAGGGTCACCAGTTCTCGTGATGCTCACGACCAGGTGTTGAGTCGCGATGGGGAAGCTGATGAGACCTGGTTGGATCGAGACTGCTGTTAAAGCAGGATGAGAGGACACTTTGAGAAAGATGCAATATTCTCGATGCATTTACCCTTCAGGAGGATGAGTAACAAGTAAACAAAGTGATTCAAAGACTGGTAGTTTAGTTTTTCCGTGATGCTAATTTCTTACTTTATAATCACCGATAGTCCTGAGGCCTACTTATATCGGAAATAAGTAATATCGTCGATCGCATAAAAATGTGATTTGGCTGAGGCCTAGCTTGCCTTAAGCATCAGCTCCGTCCGGTCAAGTGTTACAATACAAACGACGCGACATCGAGTCCCGTTGGTGTTGGTGCTGCTAATGATGCTGTGGATGATGAGGCGAAAATCGCAATCTAGCACAGACTGGATGAGATTGCTCTTTGGAAGCTTCTTATTTGATTGTGAGAAAGCTCAACTATCCCTTCTCAAATCATCGCAAGAGAACTTGGTGAACTATGAGCTTATGCAGTAGTTACGGATAGTCTTGACACATAATTTCTTTAAAAATTTCGAAATTCTTTTCATCTTAATTTTTCAGTATTAAACACAATAGATATGAGTCAAGAGTGAAAGTATGTTTCATGAACTGATCCGAAGGTGGATCCGACCAGACAGCTGACATTTGGCTTTGCTGACGCCGTCCTCAAGGAAATCCTTTTCAATTCTGCTGGAAACGTAATGGACATTCATACAACACTACTTAATGTAACGAAACATGATGATGATGATCATGATTATTTCGCCATTATGCGGATCAAGTTGTTTTTATACAGTGTGTTCATGCGGTTGTTTTTATGCTGGAGAAATATGGGATTTTTGGGTTAACAGATCACACACAAAGACCAAAAGCTCATCAACTTAACCAGATGTGCATCCGACGTTTTGTGATAAAATATAGAGGTGTGCTGTTGATAGTCGTACATTCTGCTCTAAGTACTTAGGGCTGTCACTGCTGGTTTTGTACATATGCGAACAAATGAAGACACATACGCATACACAAATAGATACAGACACATTCTTTGAGGGTGGCATACAACTTGGACTGATCAAATCACTTTATTCAGCATCAAACAACAAGGACATTGTGTGATTATTCGGCATTTACGCATAAACAGACGAGTTTTCTTTACTTGCTAGCTTGAATGCGTTTGTAGGAATCATACCCTTCTCTGACGACTCTTCGAAACCCAGCCTTTCTTCTCACCTGCTGGTATGTAGTATCATTTCTACATAATTTTATTTACCCATGAATACCATAGTTGTCGGCTTTCGTTACGATTAGATTTTTATTACACAGACATCTAGAAATCCCACTAGTATGACAATCTTTCTTAGGTGGTATTATATGGTCATAATGGGGTATCACATCCAGTTCAATACTATTCTTTACCTCTTCATACAATCTATTAGATAAGTTAATTAATTCAACAAGTATTTCCAGAGAATGGTTTACCTCATTTGGAAGAGCAAAATTCAGTCATCTTTCTATTACAAGTACTAAACTATCCTCCAGAGTTATACCAGGAAAATTGATTACCCTATCTTTCCCCACATTGTTACAAACATGGTTAGTAAGATTTTTCTTAGGTGAAAAATTTCTCGACGTTAGTCTAATTCCTAAATTCCGGAGCTTCTTATCATGTATCCGACGGGTAATTCTGTCAATCGCTTCTTCTAACCCGTCAGCCATGTCTTGTAACTTAATGAAATCCACATCATTCAATAGTTCTGATAGAGATTGTCT